GATTGAACCCAAAACCTGGGTATGTGTCCTGATCAGGAATTGAACCCGAAACCTTTTGGTGTATGGGATGAACCACTTGGCCAGGGCAACATGGGCGACTTATAAAAGTTTCCATTACATTCTGGATGTCTTTCTTCTTGTGAATATTGCAGTGTCCAGTTCATTGCCCAGATTCCTGCATGGGAACAGCAGGTTGGAGCGTGGTCTTCTGTGGGCAAGGCATGATTGTCCAGTTTGCCAACTGAGCACTTCAGATTCTTGGCCCCTGAGACCCTCTGAATTTGGAATCTCTGGAATAATGTGAATTTCGGGCAGCTTAGTAGTGACCCATTAAAGGAACCGCTTCCTAAGGCGTTGTCATGCAAGGATTTACAGATTGGTACGAAGTTTTCTGAGGAATCTGGAGAATGTGGTTTTTTATAACATGCTCTTAAAAGGCATATGGCATGATTTGGAGTTCCTCAGAGAATTTCAATGCCTTTTGAGGCTACTCGACCAGAGGGAGAGAGTTTTAGGGTCCATATAGAACATTTCCAGGGGCGGGGCCAGTCACATCATCATGACCCCTTCTCCAAAATTTAGCACTGTCCTAGCGTAGAGGACTTCAACGTGTGGTCCCTGGGCCAGGAGCCCACATCCTGGGGGACTTGTTAGAAATGCAAATTCTCGGGCCCCACCCCACTGAGCAGAAGCTCCGGGGTGGGGCTCAGCACCCCCACGTGACTGAACCAGCCTGTTAGGAGGGTGAAATATAATATAGTAATAAAATATAATTGAGATGGATATTTAGTTTATTTTTTATTTCTGAAAAGTTTCAGTAATATTGACCATTTCAACCTGAGGATTACCTACATTTTGAATGATAAAACCAGTTATGGCCTTAACACTGAGATTTCCACGATTATCCAGCTCAGCGAGAGAGTTCTGGATGTCTCCCATCTGCCACCCTTGCTGAGAAAACTCAAGTCTATGATGGGACATAGGAGACCTTGGCTGGTGAGGTCAGTCATACCGCCTCTGGTCCCAGGCTGTGCTCTTCGTCACAGAGAGACACAGCGTGCACATTGTCTTCCAGCTGTGCCCAGGCCTCTGGCTGATGAGTCGCTCTGTGTCTGGGACTCCGCTGCCCTGTTCCTACTTTGTTGGGAAATGATGGGCTGCAGCAAGTGACAGAAATGTTAGCTGTTACTGTCGCTCTGCTGACTGCTGCAGAAGGCTGCACACTCGGCTCCAGATGGAAATCTAAAATGCAGTGTGCTGCACTGGCCAGTTTGGCTCAGCGGTTGAGAGTCGGCCTGCGGACCAGAGAGTCCCGGGTTCGGTTCCCGCTAGGGGCACATACTACAAAAACAAAACAAAACAAAACAAAAGTGCAGTGTGCTGCGGCTGCTGGTGCCAACCTGTCCTGACCACCTGCGGACTTGTGACAGAGCCGGCCCCACAGTCCAGAGGTCTTGGTATTCCGTCTGTGAAGTCCTCGCCTTTATGTTTGTCCTACCGGTTTCTGAATCTACTTTGCTGCTGTGCAGTGTTTTTGTCATCTCTGAGCTTCTCATGTAAAGGAGAAACATTCTCTACTAGAGCACAGGCTCGCTGAGAGCCAGAGGTGATGGTGTACGTCTGCGGTGGTCTCCTTGGAAGCCTGCTCAGCGTCCTAGGGAGGAGGCCACGGTCCAGTTCGAAGGCATAGCGTTCCCTGGGATTAGGGCAAAATCTGAGAAAATATCTTCTGGACTCGTTCATAAAATGGAGAACTCTTTTCTGTGGACAGTGCCTTTCTTTGCCTGCGGGGTAGATTTCTCCTACGAAAGCTCTCGAAACATGAGCGCTTCAGTCATCGGTGGACAGTGTTGCTTCTTCTAAGGTGCTTTGATATGTAATAAGGTAGTTTTTTAAAAAGAGAGGGATGTGTTTGATCTTTGAAAGGAGAAAATATTAACAAGTTTGCGTGCACCCACCCAGTCATATAAAGCATCAGCTGGCTGGTGTTCTGGTCACGCCCGGGCATTTCACTCTGGCACCAGAACGTGTACGGCGTTGCTGGTGTTAGACGGGGCAGGGTGACCCATGAGAGGGAGGCCTGGCTGTGGCAAGAAAGGAAATTAGACAACACACAAGACTTTTTTCTGTTATCATTCACCTTGAATTAGTTTTGTCCCTCAAGTAGGAACTGGTCTCTCTCTGTGACCTGACCTGGGGGATATTGGTCATTTCACAGGCAGACCATTTCCTGGCTGTAGTGCTTCTGAGACGTAACTGAGAAAACACTTGAGTTCTCAAAACATTTAAGCAAGATAAATGCTAGGAGTTTAAAAAATACTCCTAAAATTCAGAAAACTGTCATTTAGAAGTCATTTATTGTAAGGTCAGAAGGTTGACTGTAGTTAATAATACTGTATTGTATATTTGAAAGTTGCTAAGAGTAAGTCTAAAAAGTTCTCATCAGAAGAAGAAAATGTAATTACGTTGGGACAGTTGCTGGGGGCAGCTTCCAGTAGGACATATTTCAAAGTAGTTAACATTTCTAGGCCGATTTTTGTAAAGAATTTTTTTTATCTGATGTAATTTCTGAAAGCTTCTAAAGTTTAAAATATTCTTCTAAAGTTCTTACAATTTTAATTTGGAGTATATTTACTTAAAAAATCTTACAGGTATATGGTGAAACAAAAGTAGTTTTCAGAATTCTGTCCTTCATTCATGGTTTTTGTCTGAGAAGGTCTCTGTATTCCATACACTTTAGAATAAGAGAAAAATTAAAAACAAGCAAATGCAAAAAAGTTCAAAAACAAACAAAGGCCGTGGATGATGAACAGCAGTAGTGGGGTGCAAACAAATTAATTCCACATTATTACATGAAACCTGTTCCCAGTGGAAAGGGCATCCAAACAGGTCGTCCAGACTGCAAGGCAGGTCGTGGGTGCTTCCCACGGCGTCTGGAGAAGGAGCAATGTCAGTGTTGGGCACCTGGGAGCCAGAGCTCCTGGGCCCTCGGTTCCCTCTGACTCCTGTGTATGTGGAAGGCGGTTTTTGGGGGCTGGGATTCAGAGACCCTAGAAGACGCTGAAGGCTTAAGAACCTTGACTACCACCCTGGCCAGTTTGGCTCAGCGGTTAAAGTGTTGGCCTGTGGACCGAAGAGCTGCGGGTTCGATTCCAGTTGAGGGCACGTACCTCAGTTGAGGTTCGGTCCCTGGCTCTGGCTGGGGCCCTGTGGGAGGCAACCGATGGATGTATTTCACTAGCATCAATGTTTCTCTCTCTCTCCCTCCCTCCCACTCTATCTGAAGATAAATGGATGAGGAATATAAAAACCAAAAAGAACCTTGACTACCTTTCTGTAAATCAAACATAACTTACTGTTGGAGAACAGTAAATGGCAAAAACAAATAATAAAACAAAAAGGGAAATGTCCAGCAGACGGAGTTCAGACTGAGAAAGCAAGTAGACCCCTGTCAGCACCGTAGATAATGACCTTGCAGTCTTTATTTATTTATATTTATTTATTTTATTTTATTTTTGAAAGGGACACATCGAGTGGTTGCCACCCGCACGACCCATTCAGGGCCGGGGACAAACTGCAACCGAGGTACATGCCCTTAGCGGGAACCGAACCCGGGTTTCTCTGGACCGCAGGCCTACGCTCTAACCGCTGAGCCAAACCGGCCAGGCTGGCCTTGCAGTCTTTCGATAACTTCAGTGTGTTAACTCTGCTGAACTCGATCGAACACAATGCACTTGTAAAATTTGTATTTCATGGGGTATGTTAGGAAGCCTGCCCTGAAGTAAGGCCTTGGGGAAGAGGGGGCCTGCTTCGCGGCGAGCGCTCAGCGGCTGTGGAGTGGCGCTGTCAGAACGCGGGTTCTTGGTTTTCAAAGACAGGTCTGCTGTGGGTGGTGAGGGTTTCTAGGCTGCGACTCCTGTGGTTCCATGTGGAAGCCAGAAAGTCACAGGTCCGTCTTAGGATGGACTTCTGAGTTGGACGAGTTTCTTTTCCTTGTAGGAAATAACGATAAAGAAAGGCAGAGAGTTGAGCTCTGTGACATTTTTGAAGGGGTCTGTAAAAACAGATATTCTGTGCACTGTGGTCATTGTGTAAGGTATCACAAGCCGCTTTTACCATTAGTATGAACTTATAGATCAGCTTTGTACTTATGTGCCTGTATTGTGAACCGTTTATCAAAATGTTGCAAGAGGAAATTGAGAGGGTTTTATTGAGTTGCATCAGTGTTCTCATTATTTTATGTTTGAGTTCTGATTGATAATTCCATTTTGTTTAACATCTTTTTATTTGTACTGTTTTTCTCCTGTTTGGCATGGATACAGCAGCCCTTGTTGCTCATTTTGGATTCAGTCGCACGCTCGAGCACGTGGCCCGTTGGCTGGCATGCCGCGGTGCTTAATGGCTGTTTGAGCCCATGAATTTCATATACGGCTGTTGTGTGAAGATGTTTGCTGGTATAATCCTTGTGATGGTTCATCTTTTTCTATTAATTAGTTTCAGATAATTATGAGGACCTTTTATAGGACATTTTAGAAAGAAAATATTAATGCAATGCTCTAGTTAATATAGGCATTTAAACATTTTAAAGAGGATAATGGACTGGTGGACACATATCAAAGCAAACTGTTAATATAAAAAGCATAGACAGCTTTTCTGGGTGTGTGTGTGGTTGTAGAACCTGAAAAAGGACTTTACATATAAGATCAAGGGTAAATCTTCAAAAATGGTTTCTGCTAATAAAGATGCTAATGAATAACAATTCTTTCTAGTGTATCAGTCTCCTTTCTTAGAGAAAAACTGATTTGTTAAAATGTTAATTCTTACATCGTGATTGAGCTGCAAAAATTCTGAGTTGGTAACCAGCCCTCCATGCCTCAGACACTACTACAAATGCCAGCGAAATCCACGTTGTTCTTGGAGAGTTAAGAGAGGATGTTTATGTTGTGTCTGTTGTCATTGTCTCTGCAGTCATGCTAACTCTCTTTCTTCTCTCTTTCTAGTCATACAGTTTATCAAGGAAGAAAATAGTGCATTACACCTGTTTTGACCAGCGAAAAAGGGCAAATGCAGCATTTTTGATGGGTGCTTACGCCGTAAGTACTTTCGTTGTGATTGTTTTCTGCAGTGGGACACTGATGCTGCTGCAGGAAGCCCAGGCCCCTCCTTGGCGGCATCGGAGGCAGGGAAGAGCCCAGCAGCATGGGGGCTTACTGGGGCGCAGAGTGGACCTAATGCCGATGGGCTGTTTCCTCTCAGGTTTTATTTTCTGTGGCTAGTGGCAGAATCTCGGAACTGCAGTGTGTAGCTAGGGTCCCATGGTCATAAAAATAATACCTAGAAAGGATATTTCCAGAAAAAAACATATCTGTGTATATTGGATTAAAAGACTGTTGAAATGTTCCTCTTTGGAGGGGGATGAAAGGAAATCCTAGATTGCATGGGAAGGATGATGATCATTATTTTTATCAGTTCATTTATTCGCCTCTCAAGTAGGCAAACCAAACAGAAACCCTGCCTATATTTCAACTTTCCTAATAACTAGGTAAGACTTTTCAAAATTAATTTTGATTAGAATTTTGTTCTCTGTAAGCACTGAAAGGTAAACGTGAGTTCCACAAGAACATGCATGCTACTGAGTTTGGATGTGACCATTTCTAGAATTTTCTATGTATCCTGCAATGGGGCAGACTCTTGGAAGACATACTCCATCAGGGCTAAAACACACTTGCAACTTAATAGCTTTTTAGAGACGATGCTGGCTGAAAGGCAGGGGACAAAGGTGTCATTTTCTGTCATCCTTGGAAGCCTGGAAGCAGTCTGCTGAGTGACATTTCAAGGCCTCCTTCTGAAGACCGTGGGGGAGGGAGGTACCGGATACTAGACTGCCCCCTGCCACATCTAACCACAGCCGTGGGGGAGCCCAGTGGTGCTGTTGTAAGGACTGCCAGCCGTTGCAGGTGCAGGCTGAGCATGGTGACAAGGTGACAGGCAGGCTGCACCCCAGGCCTTGTTTCCAGGACTGAGATGCCCCGCTCTGCCCCCTGACAGGGCTACCGGGAAGCCATGGGCCGTCCGTCCCTTGTGGTACTTCTGTCCCTCCCTGTCTGGACACAGCCTGGCCATAGAGTACAAGGAGTCGTGACTATGAACCAGAAAAACACTTTTCACTGAAGTGACTCTGGGATGATGGGTAACCATGTTATCTCTCCAGGCTTTATTTGGTTTCCTTATCTGTAAAATGAGAGGGTTGGATATAATGACCTCTAAGTTTCCTCCCAATTCCGAGGAGACTAGGATTATTTGCAGCGCCAGCCAGGCTATTGCTTTTATTTTTAGGGCAGACCCGACAAGCAGGCTGTTGGCGGAGCGTCCAGGGGAGTGTGGGAACACCGCTAAGCGGGCATCCTTCCTTCTCACTTCATGTCGCTAATTACTGCTCGTCTGAAACTGATCACTGACACTGTTCAAAGTGCAGAGAGCCCAGAGCAGCCCTGGATTCAAGCCTGCTCAGCAAGTGTGCCTTTCCTGAGCACTTTGGTGCTGCTGTGTGAGCATGCCCTCTGTCCGGAGGGACTGCCATCAGGAAGTGGTCGTCTCTGCCTCTCTCCTCTCCTTTGAAATGCCTGTCCTCGCTGTTTTTAGTGTCATCCTTCATGTCCGCTAGTGCTTCTAGTATTTGAGAAGAAGTTTAGTTACAATAGGTGCACTGAACCTGGGATAAAATACATCTTCAGATGCACAAGTTTCCATCACTTTATTATTATTTTTTTATCCACACCCGAGGATATTTTTTTGCATTTATTTTCAGATAGATGTGGGAGGTAGAGAGGGAGGAAGAGAGAGAGAGAGAAACATTGATATAAGAGAGACATCGATTGGCTGCCACCTGCACAATCCCAATCAGGGCCAGGGACGAACTGCAACTGAGGTATGTGCCCCTAGTGGGAATCGAACCTGGGACTCTCTGGTCCGCGGGCTGATGCGCTAACCACGGAGCCAAGCTAGCCAGGGAAAGCTTCCCCCCCTTTGAAGCAGTCTGAATCTGGAGAAGCCGTCGGGTGGCTCGAAACGCAGAGGGCACGTCTCACATGCTCGTTATTCTTGTGTTGATCATTTCCCAACTGATTTTCTTTCTACTTTTGGAAATGTGTTCCCCAGAAAGCTTTTTTTTTTTTTTTTTTTATCCTCACCCGAGGACATTTTTCCATTTTTTGTTCAGGTAGAGTGGGAGGGAGAGAGAGGAACAGAGAGAGAGAGAGAGAAACATCGATGTGAAAGGGACACATCGAGTGGCTGCCACCCGCACAACCGACCAGGGCCGGGGACAAACTGCAACCGAGGTACGTGCCCTTAGCGGGAACCGAACCCGGATCTCTCAGGACCGCAGGACGACGCTCTAACCGCTGAGCCAAACCGGCCAGGGCCCCCAGAAAGCTTTTTGACACAACACTTAACAAATATGAAAGCCAAGGATTGTAGTCTGTCCTTGAAGAGGAATTTGTGCCTGGCTTCCTATTGCGTGTATGTGTTGAATTGTGGACACGTCTCCTCATCCGAAACCATGCAGTCCTCACACGTGCAGCTCGGTGGGCCTTGCACACCTTACATGTTGCTGTTTGGATAAGTCAGTTTCCTGGGACGTCTTCTCGGATACAGAGGACCTTAACCTTTGGAGCAGACACCCAGCCTCAGTGGGTGAGCAACGCAGGTGTTTTCGGGGAGAATCCCTTAGCAGTGAAGGTGTTCTTCTTCTTTTCCAATGTGGAACCAGCCCTCAAACAAGGGCCATCGACTAAAAGATATTTTGTGCCAAGACAAGCCTTTTTCTCTGAGCCTTAGTTTTCTCATTTGTAAAATCTGGGTAATCCCAGTATTTTTGGATCGACCTTGTTATTAAGATCACACATCCATCTGCCTGTTTGGTAGCTCCAAGTTATATACCTCAGTGACATCTCACACTTACTGTGGCTTTTTACTTCTTCTCTCCACAAACCTCTTATTCTCCCAGTCCTTGCCTTTTTAGTAAATAAATGAACTACCATCACGACCTGCTGAATCAAAGGATAATTGCCATTTTGATTTCTCTCACTTCCTCTTCCCATGGTAAGCTTGGGCCGCTCTACCGCTAGAACATACATGGAGCCAGAGTCCGTCTTTCCACTGCCATTGGCCAGCCCAAGCCACCGTCACTGCTCACCTGAGGACACCTCAACTTTGTACAGTGGCTCCTTTTTACATTCTTTCCTTTACTCCAGTTGCCATACAAATTGTCAGAGTAATCCTTTAAAAATATGAACTAAATCATGTCATTGCCCTGTTTATAGACTTTCTGATCATGTCTGCAGCTGCTGTTTGTAGACTCACTGGAGGCCGCAGTCATGACACCCTACCTGTTGTACACCTCCAAGTGCGTGGGCGCCGTCTCTTCCTGGCAGCGGGTGGGGCTGGCCTTGAGCAGAGCCGCAGGCTCGGCCTGGGTCCACTGCACAGGGGCATGTCTTAGCCCTTTGTGTAACTGCGAGCACTTGTTTATTCCTCCCCTGAAACAGAGACAATAAACACCCTGCCTAACACAGCTGTGGTGAGGACTGATGGGGAGGTCGTGTGGGGAAGGTGTCTGGTGGCATCCGGCAGGGAACTCGGGTGCTGTCCCATTTCCCAGCCATTGTTGGACTGCCCCTCAAGTCCTTTTATTTACCATTTGTTAACTTTATGGATAGTTGATATTTTAAAAAATTTGTTTCCTGTATTTGGATCATTAAAAGTTGAAAAGTAACTCTGTCTCCTTCCTTAAAAAAAAAAAAAATTTCTGTATATCTAATTTGTATCAACAGATGTAACCCCCCTAGAAATCAACCCATCAGTTCATGTTTCTCTAAGAAGTTAGGAAGTTTATACACTTTAAATTCTGTTACTTATTAAGATGCTGTGTTAATAAGTACTTCCATATATCTGAATACAAAGATACTTAATTGGAACTACTGATAATGGACCTATTGATTATTCAACTGGAATGGTCTACTGAATATTCAGAAAATTATAGTCAGCACAGTATTATTTAAAAGTGGTTCATGGTAAATGGTAAACCAGGACAGCTAACTCAAAGTTTGTTTTTTGTTTTCATTGTTTGGATCAAGCATGTTAGTTTCCTTAATCTCTGACTCACAGTCCACCTGTAAATTGCAAGGTCAGAGTGCTTTAAATTGCCATTATGAAACTATTTGGTTAAACAAATGTTATTTAAATTATAGGTAAAATTATCAAGAAAAATGTTGGTTCAAAATAATAAAAGCATTTACCTTGAACACTTATTAAGACAGCGGATGCCAGCTGCTGTGCTCTGTGAACCTCTGCTGTGGCCGGGAGGAAGGGAGGGGAGGCACCTGCCCGGCAGGGCGACTTCCGGTTTCCAGCTTCTTCCTTTTACAGCTTGACAGGCAAATGGGCCGGACAGACTCTTATCCTTGTCAACTTGTATTTTCGTGGCTTTAAAACAGGCCAGGCTCCCTAAAAATCAGACAGCAGTTTTAATTTCAAACTCTTTGAATCTGGAAGTTCTGTTAGTCTTCTGCAGACGGGTGGAGAGATACGCTCTTTCATTCAATTTAGCTGTGGGCTGGGAAAATCAGTTGTTTGCTTTTCACGTGCGGAAGGGTTGCTTCTTACATTTAACTGAATAAAACTTTTCAGGATTTTCTTTTTCTATTCTCCGTTTGGCATCCTGATAACAAGCTTCCTCTGTGCTGCAAATAAGGGCTCAGATTCTCTCTCTCTCACACACACACACACACACACACACACCCACACACACACACTATTCAGTACTATATATTTAAGTGTTGGCACACTGTGTGTTTATAGCAGCTTGCATATTTTTTGAATCTTATTAGTAGACTAGAAAAGACATTTACCATTTGTTTTATTGATATACTGGATTGAGGGGAATGTGCTTTTTTGGTATTTTCTGGAAGTCATGAGGTCTACTTGCAGCCGTGAGCTGGAAGGGGAGGGAAATTCCAAGCAGCCTCAGGGAAGGTGGGTGGACTTCCTGTTACTAGACATGTTGGGTCTGTATGCAATGCCTCTGCTGGTT